GAGTGACAGAAAGAGACAGGGAGAGACAGCAAGACACAGGGAGAGACACGGAGAGACAGGGAGAGACAGGGAGAGACAGGAAGACACAGGGAGAGACAGGGAGAGATAGGGAGAGACACGGAGAAACACGGAGAGACAGGGAGAGACAGAGAGAGACAGAGAGAGACAGAAAGAAACAGGAAGAAATACGGAGAGACACGGAGAGACACAAAGACACAGGGAGAGACCGGGAGAGACCGGGAGAGACAGGGAGAGACAGGGAGAGACCCAGAGAGACAGGGAGAGACAGGGAGAGACAGGGAGAGACAGGGAGAGACAGGGAGAGACACGGAGAGACACGGAGAGACAGGGAGAGACACGGAGAGACAGGGAGAGACAGTGAGTGATTGGGGGGGAGAGAGAAGGGGGAAGAGACATATTAATTACAAGTAGGATGCTGCAGTAAAATGATACTAAAATTGAATTATATTGCAACAGACCATAATATTGCATAAAATTTATAATGCATATTTAATTAATAATATTAATACAGCACAATTTACAATAGCAATGTTTCAGTCGAAGAACTACACCTCGTTCTAAACTCGGCACTACCGGGACGTTTGTCTACCTAGACCTCTTGAGTCGTATTTAATCGAAATATTCAACCATCTTAAAGTTCCTACTACTTTGTCACGAAAATTTGACTCGTCACGTTTGCCTTGATGCCAATGCACGAACTACAATTCAATCCTGTTCTCTTCCTTCACCTTTTTATCACTTTTCTATCCTGGAACTGGCACGAACCGGCAAGGAATTCTTTCCTAATTTTCTTAGGCCGGTATTCATAGTCCGTTCTTATATTTAAGATCATCTTAAGTATACTTTTAATGTGTTTTCAACCAATCACAGAGCCGTATTAGCGGCTCTTAAGACATCTTAAGACACTTAAAATGATTTTGAAATAAGAATCGACTAATACCGGCCTTAGAGCAGTGTATTGAGCTCGGTATCCAATCGTGAAGCACGTTCTCGATGTTAATCGGAATTTTTACGTGACGGCGCGTGGTGGCTGATTTTTCGCGTGCACGAAAGGCGCGGACAGCAACGCGAGAGACGTAACGGATCAACGAGATCGGCAACGGTACCTCGTGCCTGGTCTGCAAGTACTCGCAAGTCCTGCATGCTAATGGGACATCGCCGTGGACGTCGCACGCGATTCTTTTCGTCCTCGACGATATCCTTCGTTCCGGCGTGTCGCGCATGCGATTTCCCCTGCGATTAATATCTAAATGATGGGAGAGAGATGGTTCCCCAGTCTCGCAACTTCTGCAATAGACAGCGAATATTTGTCAATAGGAAGGGAACGACTCGAGAAGTCCCTGCAACGTCGTTGCGAGGTGACATTGTCTGCTCGTCACAATGGAAACGTTAACAAATCGCTTCACTTAACGTTACGTTTAACTATATAGAATGTTTTATACTCGTCAGTATTTTGTACTACATCAGATTTTAATACGTTAATCGATACAATTAAAAGTGAATAGCTTCACATTTTAAAGTTTGGAAACGATTTAGGGCAGGTTGTACCAACCTCTTGGTACTTGCTGCCCCTTGGTACCCTTGGTACTTGGTTATATCACATGTATGTCTTTGTTTTTCTTTTAAATTAAAAAAAAAAGACATATGATTTAACTATTAGTTAATTTACCATAAGGTTGGAAAAACCGGGCCTTAAAGGCATATTCAAAGTGTGGAGGCAGAGCGTAAAATGAGTTCTTTTGTCTTTATTGTGGAAAAACCGTTCACAGTTCTCGACTGCCTTTGTGAAAAGAAAAATTTGCGATGGCACAATATTCTTACGTATTACTTGCTAATAAAGGGTGCGGGCTAGGCCATCGCTGTTGCAAATAAAGCCGAGACCGGAAGTGAGGCAATTACTCAGCCGGTCGGGCAGCTCCAGTCAATTGTCCCGATTGTATTCCCGCGGTAGCCACTGCCGACATTGCGAACAGGAAAATGTACTCACTCGGTTCGTTTTCGTTTTTAATGACAGTCCAACGTAATCGCTCGTTGACAGCCGCGCTTCGTCATTGAAGCGAATTCTAGGGAACGGCTACCGATTGGCGGTCAGTAATGACGATCTTTTCGTGAGACATTCAACGTACGAAAACTTGTGAAAAGAACCCTTGGAAAGATTTTTTTTATGAAATTGAAGTTTTTAAAAGTAATCTTTCAACTCGTAAGAGTTTTCCTAAAGAAGTTAAAAGTTTACTTAAGAAATTTTAGAGTAATTTTGGACACTTACAGTAAGTGCTTAGGTAGCCAAGTCTATCGAATATCACATACCTTTCACAATTGTTAAAGTTTTCTTTTAAATTCTTAAAATGAGTTTTAAGTTTACGTTAACTAAAAGTTAAAAGTGTCCAAATTTACTTTTCAGATCTCTTATTTTTTCTAAAGTAAAATTTGAAGATTTTCCAAGGTATATTTTTCCAAGGGAGGCACTGAAATTCCGGGCAAATTTATTTCACACGTGAGTATATTTTCCCGGAACGAAATAATTTCTCGCGCGCTATCACGTCCGTTTGCGCACAATGCACCGTTGACCGTCGCACCGGCTGAAGAATCGAATCGATTATTATTCCATCTCTTTCCTCTCAGGGTGATGATGTAACGGGACTTTCGCTGTCGCTGTCGCGGTGAGGAAACAATGTCCACACAATGCAATCGCTTCGTGCAAAACGCCTGGAAGAAGGAGCTCTGCTCGAATTGCTTCAAGCCGAAGGAGGAGCATGCGCCGGCTGACGATACCCTGCGACTGAACGTCGAGAAGGCTTCCACGAATCTGAAGATTGGTCATCTTCAGGTGCAGGTATTGACTTGTACAACGTATTTGATATATTTATGCACTATATTCTGGCGCACATCCCAAGTTTTCGTTGATTAGATTAAATCAATTACTTCAAAAATATTTATATACTTTTGTAATGAAACAATAATTTTTAAGGCTCTATATATAAAACATAAATTCAAAGACGCAATGTAGGGGGCAATAGGTTTTTTTAGGGCAACGTAGGTTTCCTTATATGCAATCGTCATTGAGAAGGACTACATGAGTTGGTCGAAACGTTTGACATTGTTAATTTCAAATAAATAATATAACATTGGTTCCATTCTCTTATTGCCCCCTACATTGCGTCTTTGAATTTATATACTTTGTTTATGTATACAATATATTGGCGTTTATAGTCGTTACATCGTTTTCTCTACGATCTAGATTATTTAACGGTTAGCTCAATTTATATACGACACGCGCTAATTAATATTTTACCCCAGAAATCGATACATAATTTATTAAGTATTCGATATTTTATACGAAGACAACATTCTTCATTGTCGTTAGAGTCGTGTTGAAAGAAAACTTGATTTTCAAGTTATTTACTTTTCGTATAACTACACATTCAATTAACGGGACACGATCATTGCCGATCAGTTACTGATTAAAACATTTCCGGTTTTGCCGCGTCGTGAAAAACTTCCCGTTCCGACTGGAGTCAATCGAATAACCTTGCAGAGTATCCTTCGTGGCAAGGCGGTCTGTCGGAAAGATCAACGGAAAAAGAACGTCGGTTTCCCCGAGTCCCTTACCGAGGTGATCGGTTACGGCGGCGATGACTTCTCCGACGGCGAGGAAGAGAGGGACGGGGCCCAGGTCGATTCCTCCGCGAAAGCGGAGGACCTGGTGCCGGACAGCGAGGAGGAGCGCGCGTTATTCGACCTGACCCGTGCGAACACGAACTTCAACACGGTTACCGCGAACTTGACGAACGAGAGCAACGGTTTGCACGACGCGGCCAAGACGTCGACGGCGTCGCCTGCCAAGTCCTTCGCCTCGTTGATGCTGGGTAAGATACAGCTAGACGCCGATGGCAGGAAGACGACTCTTTTGGTGTCCGTGACGCCCTTCGGTGCGGACGAGTCCGTACCCACCGCCAAGAGGCCGACCGATCGAAAGATCAACACGAACAACTTGCAAGCCAGTCCGTTCAGATTGAAAGCCGACGATGGTGAATCGTTGGACAACACTGCCAAAGTAAGTACAACGTCACCGAAATAAATGTCATCGCGAATCTTCTTGCATTTAATCATTTATTTAATTACAAGTTGGATTAGTGATTAAAGGATGAAAATAAGTATTTTTTAAGTGCAGGCTCGAATCTGTGACATAGTTTCGAATTCTCTATAATTATTTTGAAAAATGAAAGCAGATATACTTTAAATATTCAAATCTGGACGAAATGACCATTGGGGAAATTATATCCTAGAAAACTCTAAAATTTTACATATTGAATTTCATCTCGTCCCTGATTTCGATCTTGATTGCAAAAGCAAAATTGAATATATTAAAGGCCGCAAAGAAATTCGGCGGACCGGAGCGGAAGAAGACCGAGGAGCAAGAACAAAAATCCTCCCCGGAGCTGGGGAGGATCGTAGACATGCCATTGATCACTTCTGCTAATATGATTTCTATCATGCGGAGGGAGACCACGACGGACACTGCCAACGCAGATGCGGCGAAGACGGCGGAAACATCGGCGCAGAAATACTCCGTCTGCAAAGCTGATAAAAGAAACGCCACAAATGCTCCGCTTAACACCGTTTCAGCGGCAAAGAAGACTGAAATCGAGTCCTCGTCGAGGATGTCTGCGCAATCCGCGCCCAGTAACGACGTGGGAGAGAGCGTAAAGAGGACGGCGAATAAAAGCGAGTGTGCGAAACAAGACGAAGGGAAGGAAGAGAGAGTCGAGCTCGCCTCGTTGACGCCTCCGAAGAACGAGGAAACGCCGGAGGGCGATCGCTCGACTAACGTCGGCGACAAGGGTGTCAACGGCATCGACGACGTCAAGGAGGCTCCGCCGTCGCAGGTGCGCGAGGTCGATGGAGAGTGCGAGGGCGCGGAACGGAAGAAATTCTGCTTCGACAGCAGTCGCGAGCTCGCGGGCGAACCGGACGGCAAAGCGGACGAGGAGGAAGTGACGGAACCGCCAGCGTTGCCCACGAGTCCGCCGCCGATTATAACCACGGAGCCAAGGCCCTCCTTTCTACACGGTAGCGTTAACACCGACTCGAAGACGAAGCCTGCCGTGCCGCAGAAACCGGCGACCTTTCCCGCAAAGGTGAACGATGGTCCGCACGTCGCGAAGAAAATTCCCAACGGCGATTACGTGTTGCCACCTCCGTCGGTCCAAACTGTCGCCGGAAGACCCGTTCAAAATTTAGGTGAGTCTCGAAATACGATTAGACAAACGAGAAATATCCCCTCCCAGATAGCATAGTTCTATGAATATTCATCTGGAGTGCAAATATTTTTTATTTCAGAATATTCGAATATTCTGTAAATATATGTAGATTATTACAAGTAGAAATCGTATACTCGTAACAAAGAAGAGCGTTCTTAGTATATTCGTCGAGAATCTCTTTGGAATATTTGTTCAGAATAATGTTTGAATATTCATCGGGTTTATGTATTGCACATTGTTTATTGTGTAATACACTTATCTTATGCAAAAGGCAGTGAAACCTGTGATCATACCATATAACCGACACGCTATATTCGCTAGATTATTCTATTCACATTCGAAAAAGATTTATAGTAGTGCCAGAGAAGTTCATTTTACAATATTGGACCAATGTTGGGAATAGATTTACATTATTTCCCAATTACGATGCGTGCTACCATCTCTTTCTAGGTACGCAAGATATGAGCTCCCGATGTGCAACGAAGAAGAACGTTACGAGCGAGATTTTATCGGAGACCGATCAAATCTCACCAACCGTTGCAGCTCCAAACACGGAATCTGGAGATCAAGCGAGAACTTTATCAAAATCCGCCCTCTCGCCGTTGTTCACTTCCATAATCGCACCGCCAGCCTTGCCGAGAAGTCCGACGAGTAACGAAGAAGTGGACGAGAACATCGTGCCAGACGAGGAATTTCCGGAAATTACTCCGGTTTCCGTCTCCACGATGGAGCTCGTGCGCTCGCCGAATAAGAGAAGGATGGCTCCGCGGCCGCCGGAGGCCACGGAGGACCTCTTGCCGGCCTCCTCTCTGTTCGCCAGAAATCCGGGGGCCAATCTGAAGTCCGATTCCCCGGTCGTTCGTGAGAAGGAGAAGCGCGAGAGATCGTCCTCGTGCAGCCCGAAGTTCCGCAAGGCGGTCTGCGATCTGCCGGATCCGACGAACGAGAGCGCCAAGCATCCGGTCGAGTTCGTGCCCAGGAGAACGATTTCTCTGTCGCAGGACAGCTTGACGACGGAGAAGGAGATGCGGGAGGAGAAGAAAAGAGGTAGAAACCGGAAAGGCTTCTCCCTCAAGAGGTTCCTGAGGATAAGCACGAAGAAGGACATGGACGTTATCACCGGCCAAACGTCGGGCGCGAAAGCCGACGAGATACCGTCGACGCCGCAGCCGAAACCGCGATTAGAGATAATCCATCCGTTGGAGTTGGACGGTGCCGCGGTCGAGGTAGTGGGAAACGATAGGATCACCGCAAGGATGGGCGAGGACCACACCGACTCCTGCGGTGCTAAGAACGACGGTTCGAGGTCGGCGCGGTTTCCTCCACCCGTCGCGAGTAAGTAACGAATTACTTGTGACTTCGATGCGATTTCAGATAACCCTCATAAAGTTCCTCAAAGTGCCACGTTGTCCCACGACGTTGCATGATTTTCATAAACTTTACGAGAAAATTCTCTCCCGTGCACGTAGTCGCCACCCAGTCACGCAGTGAAAAAGACTCCGCGTTATTTTGTTACAGCGAGGCCCGGGAAACCACCCCCGCCGCCGAGAAACCAATCCCTCGAGGACTGGCCGAGGCTGGATTCGGCGAGCAAGCCGGTCAGACCGCCGCCACCTCGCGCGGAGGTGAAGCTGAGCGTCGCCTCTGGCAGAAACGACAAAATGTCGTCGTCGAGGGCCACTTGGAGGCCGACCGCCGCGACGACCTCGGACTCGATTTACGCGAACCTGGGTAAGTTCAGGCCCATACAGTGTAACTGAGTTGATCGTCGCGATCTCGATGTTAACAGCCATACTCACACGAATCCTCGCGCCAGTCGCTTTTATAAAACGGGAGAGACGTCACTTCGCTTGCGTGGGTACAGCGACCGAGCCACGTGGTTGATACCTTAACTCGCATCTTCGGAGAGGATAGAGGATTTTACTCGACGGGCCGCGCGCGTCGCGCACAGTTTGCCGGGTTGTACGAAATCGGAATATTGATTGTGAGATATAACTTGGACGAGTTCGAACTCCGATGATTATTCCCGATAGCGAGAACGCGACATAAGGCAGAAGGCTTGATAAGTCGTAAAAAAAAAACTGAAATTACTCTTGGGAAGTCACAATATTCTCTGTGATACGTGTTACTTGACGATAACATTATTTCGTAATGTTTACTGAACGAATTTATTCCTATTCCCTCGGACGAGACTCGGTGTTGTCAGGCACCAGTACCGTTTCACGTAACGTAATATTAAGCAATACTTGATTGAAGGCTTTGCAGCTTTTTACTCTTGAAATATAATTGCTTTCGCAACGCAGGTTTCCGCGATAAGATTACAATATAAAGTTTGAGAATGGCTGGTTAAATAAAGTGTGCTATTTGTTGTACTCGTCGACAAAGTGCTCCTCTTGTAAGACTTAGCAAAAGGCAAGAGAACCTTGTAATACATTTGTATCTGATGAATAAACGTATATTGTTTAAAAAAACGAATTAGAGTCTTGTTCCTTCGATCGCTTAGCTCTCCTGGTCATTCTCTCGTTCTCTTTGGTCGCGCCGATTTACAATACGCCAATCCTCCGATGCTGTGGCTTGTTCGTTGCACCTCCGCATCTCTCCCTCTAACTCTCTCTCTCTCTCTCTCTATCTGTCTCCTCCTCCTCCTCTCATTAACGCGAACAACGGCGACGTCCGTTGCGCTGGGCATAAGCGCGACTACTCAAGCGTAAACGGCGCGCGTATCCGCGTTCACGTCTCTCTCCGTTTTCTTCCTCTTCTTCACTCTTTTTTCCTCCTTCTGCGGTGGTTACGTAACGGTGCGTACCACGAGCAACGTTAGCCAAGAACTCCTCTAACCGACGCTGGGTGCAACTAACGCCGCACGCATTGCATGCGCTGTGATCGGCATCTCGTATGGAGTCTCGTAGGTTCCATGAAGAATTAAAAAGAATAGATATAATATATGCTTGTGCGAAACTCGAGGATCCCCGCGCGCAGACACTTACGTTGAGACTCTGATTTGCTTAAGCCCTATAAATAAACTGAAATTACTCTTGGAAAGTCGCAATATTCTGTGTCGCTTCCACTCGCGCGATAAACTCCTCGCTCGAAAGTCTTCGTCGAGCGGGAAGTATATCTACCTGGTCCACGCACGTGGGCGCGAAATCGGGGTCAGATCGGAGGCTCAATGTCAGAGGCCACTTGGACCTGGTTAAAAGAAAATAATCCACGTGCCGATATGCGATCGGTCCACGTGCGTGCGGCAATGAACTAACGTTCGTCAACGTGTCGCCAACGTGTCGCCAACGTGTCGGGTCCGAATCTTTGCGTCGCGTGGTGTTCCTCCAGTACTCTAGTGCGTTTAGAACCAACTAGCCGGCCCGCATAGCTAGCCCGTTTCGTTGACATGCCTTGTGTCTTGTGGTACTAACCCGTGGCGCTTGACGATGGCGGATCGTGCCTGCAGCAGCGGAGGATGTTACAGGTGAGGTGCGCAGCGCCCTGGCACCCTCGAAACCCCAAAGAACCGCCAGCCTGAGGGACCGAGCGATCTCCCAACCGGTCCCGAAGCGGCCTTCGGCTGAGGATCGGCATCGCGATTACGACGGCCTCGTCGCCGCACGACCCACTTCCGACTCGCCGGTAAGAAAGACCCTCCCTCAAATCCGGCTCCAAACGTGAACATTTTCTATTGTTGGACCGCGCGGTATGGAAACGTTGATACAACGTTCACACGCTGCGCCCTGCGCTCTTTCTATGCGGGCGAGAACGTTTCTAGATCTTGGGAAAGGTAAACAGTGAAAAGAAGATAATTACTGTAATTGTTATCGCGAAAATTTCCTGTGCGCAGTTTTCATTGTCGAGCTGTGACAAGAGAAAAAAAGAACCGCTAAAGAGAAAATTATGAATATTATCTTCAGAGAAAAGCAGATCGAGGTAAACTTCACTTTTAGAATTTATGTATGAAGTCGGTAATCTCGCGTATTTGCAAAAATATTAATTGACGTAATCTTTCCTTTTCTTCTATTGATTACAATAGAAAATGGTACGACGGAATAATAGTTAGCCGGAGAGTCTTGGAAGTTTGTCGGGAAAAGAGAAAATTGGGGCGAGAATCTTTATCTAGATGTATAATGTGATGCCATAATGGCTGCTTTCCTTTTAGAAGACACAAATCGACACAAGTCAACACACTCGAGCACAATTTGCCTCTTTGAAATTCCTTACAGAAAAAAAAGCAACGAAATAATTACTAAAAAATTACCGTACGTCAGTAATTTGTAATGATTCAATTACTGATATGCAGTAATTTTCTAGTCATTATTTCGTTCCTTTTTCGTGATGGATGGCAGAGATTTAAATAGCGAGTTTTTAAGAAGAGGTTCTGTCAAAAAAGGTTCTCTCGAAATACTCGTTCTTCGGTCCAAAACGCACTCCGACTCTCCTCTCGAGCAGAGTCGAAAGGTGTCGATTGAGTTTGAATTAAATTCTAAACGGAAAGCGACATGTGCCGATTTGTGTAAAAAATGTCGACTGTGTTCTCTAAAAGGAAAGCAGTCGAAATATGTCGCCGTACATGCGGTATTGTTCGCATGTACCGCCTCAACATGAGCGCGACTTAGCAGTACAGCGATAACTTGCGTTTCAACAGACATCCAACGACAGCCATGTGTACGAGTGCCTCTCGAGTTCGCCCGAGTGCGACTCGAATCTCGAGCTGCGGCACGGAAGTGGAGGCGGATTCCGCGCCGCGTGCAAGAGGAAGTCCGACAGCAGTGCGATGGTCGGCGAGTCCAAGTTTCATCATCAACCCTCGTTCGCGAGGTCGATCTCGTTGCCGTATTGCGGCAGCGAGACCGAGAGCGAGCTTTACGCGCCGTATACTTTCTACACCGGCGACGAGGTATGCTATCGTGTTCTTCCGTTCTCTTCCGAGTGAACGTACTTATTTTTTTAATCGAACACGGGTGATTTCAGGGCGCCGAGGAGGATCAGGACTGGAAAAACGCGGACGACGATGGGCCGAGGATGGGCCGTCTGAGGCAGCGCCGGGGGCGCACCGTCGTTCATCGAAGTCTCGAGGATAATTACGGTGCGGTGGTTGTGGCGAATCACGAAGCGCTCGCCCAATTTCTGGAACAGGTACGTTAGCTCTGTATATTATCTGTTATCATTATTTTCCGTTGTATCTATCTTATGTAAGAAAGCTCTTAAACTCTGAGAAAAAAGACAGCAACCCATTTCGGGGCTCACAATTAGTAGTCGAATTATTTGGATTGTTCGTAACATTCTAATCTTTTACGAATTTTACCCCGCGTAACTAAAAATCGTAATTATTGAAAAAGATATCCTAAGGAGATCTTTTTCACATAAATGCTGTGTGGGTAAAGTTTACTATTATTATTATTACCGTAGACTTTCGAAGATAATTAATTCTCCCGAATGCGAAAGTTACAATGCTTTGAGTTCAAGGCAATTTCGCATTCATTTGTGTTACGTGAGATAATAAAATATTCTTTTTTTCTGACCTTTTTTGCGACTTTGCAGGAAAATCAAACTGTCCAGTTTCCGTCAAGTTTGCGCGCCCTCAAGAATGCGAATCCACGGTTGAAGCACTTCAACATCGACACCGCGTCATCGGTCTCCGTCGGTAGAAGAATATTTTGTCCTGCAACGTGGAATGATCAGAACGTCACCCTCTGCATAGCATTCGACCTGGCTATACCTATGCCTCAAAAGGACTTTTGTCTGGCGCCTATAATAGAATTTGCAGATAAAGTACCGAAAGAAATAATCGAGAAGGTCCGACCGTCCGAGAACGAAGATGTCGAAGGTAATACACGCTGAAATTTCGCGCGCGCAAAAAAAGTTAAAAATGTGAAATACATCTAACAATAATTTCTCTGTTTCAGCGACTATTTCGGTTCTCCCGTGCCTGCATGTCACCACCATCGAATCGTTCGGATCGATGTCGAAGGACATAAACGGCGAGGGCGCGAGCAGAGAGGCGTCATTCGTTCTTCTTCAACTGGTGAGCGCTCTGAAGAGCCTACAAGCACGCGGGATCGAGGACGCCAGCAGATCTCTGAGCGACGTTGTACTCTGCAGAGAGGACGTTTATTATCGGCTCTACCTCCTGCAAGGGTCAGTGGTTTCTCGCGAGACGACAACTTGACGCAGTATAATAATATAAGCACGCGGACCACCGTGGTACCGTTATTCAACGTTTAACTTCCGTCTTGCAGAAGGTTAAGCATAGACCCGAGCGACGAGCCTGGCGAGGAACGAGTCTCCCTCTGCGAGTGCGCTCTAATAGCGCTGCAACAGTTGCATCTGACAGGCGAGCTACCTCTCATACAAGATTTACTTATACGCGAGAAAGCGGTCACACTCTCGCAGGTGAGAATTCATTTCTATTCCATTCTGATTTCGCGATCCGCACGTGCAGAGTCGGTGAATCATCGCAATTAATGTAGAAAATTCCTAGACGACGCTTGGCTGGCAAATTATAATTAAAGAAATTCATTGCGAAGAATATTACCTCAGTCAGGGATTTGAACCTGGACCTCCCTACACTCTAGGCGGGCGTCTCACCAATTCGACCACTGAGGCATATAATTTCTGTTTTAGCGACTATAATTTCGGTTTTTTTTTTATAAATTAGATGTGCAGGGAGGTCCACACAGGTTCAAACCCTGGCTGAGGTAATATTTTTCGCGATGAATTTTTGTAATTACAATTTGCCAGCCAAGCGTCGTCTAGCAATTTTCTACATTGGTTAATAATGTACTGGCGTTAAATAATTCTTTCATCACAATTTAACTATAAATCCACTTTACTGTGTCTATATTTCTTTTTTAACTATTACATTTGTATTCATCATTAAACCGAGCTTGCTCCGAGATTGTTGGTATCAAATAGTAATGCTCAGTTTCTTCACGTATTCACAGTTGCTGTTACGTCTCATCTTTCCACATTTAATTCAGCTATCAACAACCTATGCCTCGGATGAAATTAACGTTTGCTTCCTTTGGTAATTAGGTAAAATCCGTGCTGGAATTCTCATTGTGGGGTCCAGCTGACGTGCCACTCGGTGGTCCACGGGAGAGAGAAGTGGCGCTTCAGAGATGGCTCGACCTCGAGCGGGCGAACGTACTTCACGCTCTCATCAAGACAAAAACGGCCCTAACGGTTATAGATGAATATCAATTATTATTCTTGGTACGGACCACTGCTAAAATTATGAGCGAGGCGTCGGTGCTCCTCGACGAACAGCGTAAGCGTTTGGCGCAAAGATGCTGATGCGTTCTTTATTGTACATGACGAGTTGTACAAATAATAAGCATCTGACGAGTGAAACTAATATTTAAAATTCGCTAAACGAAAAGAAACGCACGCAAACGCGAAAATAACTTGTTGTAACTAGTACTGTGCTACAAAATAACATAACAGCTTGCCCCTTACACAGTTAATGTACCTTATCGATGGAGTTTTTTAACAGAAATTATGTAAGAACAATTGTATAATTAACTTATACTAATGTGAGATTGATCGTACGTTTGCTAGTGACGAGTATATATTTTTATATAAGCAGGATATATTGTTGGATATATACGTAGGAATAATCTCGGAACAGCTCAATGTTATAAATATCTTATACGTAATGTAATATCTGACGATAAGATAAAGGTATTAGAGAGGAATGTGCCAATGCTCAATCAAAGTGTGATTTTGCGTGTACGGTGTGCGTTTCAATGATCCGTCGCGAATCCGGAACTTTAGAGGCAGCTGTTTCACGTTTTCAGCAAAGTGCGATAATTATTTATAAATATTTATAGGCATTTTACATACACATTTGTATAAATAAACGCAATAATCACGAGGTGTCTGCAAATTTCATATTTCGACATGGCATCCGCGATCGTAATAGCACAAGCGCAATATGGACGCCGCTTGCTCGCTTCAGGAAGATTATGAGGTATACTAATACTAAATCTATAATTCTAAAGAGAATTGGCTCAATATTCTTTTACAAACTAATAGAAAGATCTGATATTCCGCGAATCAGTCAGATTCTTGCTAAAAGGCAATATGAAAAATACTAATTACATTATTATTCTCTCATGTTTTTAAAAATAGTTTGTTACTTATTACATTCAACTTGCGTTATGTTATCTTTTCGTCACTGTCTTCTGGCACGTCACCCAATTCCACCGTTCTGTCGCATACAACTTTTTCTTCTTCATTTACTTGGATATCCGGTATGGTAACACTTTTCCCACTGGACGGCGAGTCCCAAGAGCATCCGACCGCGTTTATCGGCCTGCGAGAATCATGTATTGCGTAATTGAACAATATAATCAATAACATATTTCCAGGGTTGGGAAGTAACTCGTTACTTGTAACGAAGTTACAGTTACAGTTACTGGTTTTTGGTAACTGTAACTTAACTTCGTTACTTTCTTTCCATCAGTAAACTGTAACTTAACTCAATTACATTGTTTCGATAATTAGTAACTACTTTAATAGTTACATTAATAGTTACTTTATACAGGGTG